AGAGAAAGGGGGAGAGCTCGGAAGGGAGCGGATAGCAAATGTCGCCTTTCCGGCGTCGCACAGGAAATTGCCTTGGCCCCAAAGAACGACCAGTTGCAACTCTGGAACCAAGGGCTTCCGCATGTTGGTTGCATCTGCTTGTGGAGGGATTGCTTTGTGTGTCACATTGCTGCGAGGAGCCCCATACTCAGTTGCCCGAAGGACCCAGAAATAAAAGGTAATGTTAAAATGGCATGTCAATATTTAAGGCAATCCCCAACCCTCCCCCAACCCTCCCCCCCCTCCCTGCTGTCCAATCCCACACCCTCTGCCTCCACAATTCTGCCCTCCGTGCGGCCGTCAAAGACCCGGACCTCTTTGCCCGGCCCGGCGCAGAGCGTGAAGACACACCTGATTCCCGGCCGACCCAACATGAAAAGGCAGAGCGTTCCCCACCCTGAACAATTTCGAAGAACAATTGAATATATGATAAGGCACTTGTATTGCTCAAATTCGAATTAGCTGGCCCCGATGCAGACGATGGAGGATAAAAACAGAGAACCTACCCTCCCACACACAAAGACAACACACACACCTCACCGGCCGCCAAAAGGCTGGGCATAGGCCGACTTGTCTTCGTATCCTGGACGTGGGGATTGGCCCCCTTTGGCACCAGAACAGGGGACCTTGGACAAAGCACCTGGATTCTATGGACACCCAGCCACAAGTCGAAACCTGGACATCGAACCTTAAAGGAACGAAAAATGCCCCGGCGAGATCGTGCATTTGAAGAACAAAGTTCTGACATGTGAGAAGTGAGACACTGAAACCAGACCTTTAACTGGAATATCTGCCCCCAAGAGGTCGTCTTGACACTCTCATTGACTGGTGACCTGGGCAGGCGAATTGAGACACACACCCCATACGAACCCTATTCAACCAGGGGTGCATTGATCCCGGACAACACCCAAACAAAGGCCTGTTCCCGATGGGCGGATTGAATGGAACCTTTGCCTCCCACCCCTTCTCCTGCCAGCAGCTTGTTTAGGCCGTCGTGGCCCAACTTCTCCAGGAACCACTTGATGTAGGGACCTCGCCGTCTCACGCGCCACGCTGCCCGAATGTTGCCGGGGGGATGGGGGGGGTGGGGGGCGCCCGCAAAGGGAAACTCATCGCTTGAAAAACCTGGGAGTCCCAGGCCCCCTGCATCCAGCAAATTGGAAACTTTATCCAGATGCATTCAATGTCCCCCTTTAGTGGGGAACCCCAACAGACTCGCAACCCGCATTTGCTATCCAACCAGCCTGGGAGACCCTTGAGGGCGTGGTAGCACAAGGACGTATCCTCGCACATCACCGGGCCCTGGCAAGTTTGGGCTCTGCTGGAAGGCATGCGAAGTAGGGGGACCCCACAATGAGTGGTCTCTCGTTGGTTTCTTTCGTCACAAACCCGGCACCCTCCAAAACTCCCACACTCACCCAGCTAAGCGGTTTCGCACAAAGAAGACGTTTATACTTCAGAAACCCAGTCGGTCAAGCCTCCCCAAATACCGGTGGCTCAAGTGGGAAACCCCAACCAAACCAGCCAAATCCCAATCCGCCCCATGTGTGCCACCACAACCCCAACCATCCGCACCAAAACCTGCGCTCTCCCAAGCCGGCGTGGGCGTCGTGGGGCTAGCCTTCCATTTGGTTAAGACCCCTGGAAAAAATAACAGTATTTCCAGTAGCCATAGATTCCCTTTAAAACCAACAGCCATGGAAAAAAAAAAAAAAAAAACCTTAAGCAAATGGAAATAACAGTTTGACGGCGAGGCCTTCACGTGCTCCGCCGCCAGCTTGCACTTCTCCTTGGCGATCTCCTCCGCCGTGGCCCCCTGGAGCTCCGGGAGGTCCACCTTGGGAAGCGCTGGACGCAGCCCGTCGAAACAGAGAGGAACCAAGCAAAGAAACAAGAAACAAGCAAGCAAGCAAGCAAGCAAGCAAGCAAGCAAGCAAGCAAGCAAGCAAGCAAGCAAGCAAGCAAGCAAGCAAGCAAGGCAGGCAGGCAGGCAGGCAGGCAGCAAGCAAAACACACAAGCAAACAAACAACCACCAAACAACCAAAAGAGCCAACCAACCAAACAAACAAACAAACAAACAAACAAACAAATAGCCAACCAATCAAACAACGAAGCAATCGAAGGACCAGCAAGACCTCAGAAGCAGCTTGCGTGCTTGCGCCCGGCCTTTTGGGAGGTGACGTCAAAAGGCAGCTCCTCCGATCCGGCGGACAGAATTTGCCTCACCTCCTGGGCAGAGGCTCCGGAGCCAGGGCGCTTTAGGGGCACCAAGGGAAAGGGCTGGCCAGAGAGATGTACAAAGCAACGGGATAGGAATTGTTCTGTGTTTGAGGGGTTTCGCGCTGAGCAGGGCCTCTCTCGCTGCCATTGGCATCCATCTATCCGTCCAAGACATGAGGCATGTCAAGTTTTGAGGGTACGCAGATGGTTTGAACCGAAACTCCAGGGAAACCGCGCCAAGTTAGGGGGGCGTTCCTCTTTGATTTGAGACCAACCCAAGCCTGGGCTTCGAGTTTCGGTGCGCCCAAGGCTCCTCCAGCTTCTTGGCGTTGCCCGTCACGAACACCAGCGGCTGCGGCATCGCCCGCTTGGCCATGGCGAAGCTGAGGCCAGCGAGGCCCCCGCCCTTGCCGACGGCGAGGGCGGCCAAGAAGGCGGCCACCCGGCACGGTCTTGGCCGCGAAACCATCCACTGAGCCAAAGGAGCCGGTTTCAGTCAGCTGTTCGGCGCCTCCCTGCCGAACTCAAGGGGAGAACAGGCAAACGTGCAGCCGCATACAAAAAACTATCCGAGTCCTGCTGAATCAGGACAAAGCAGACCACCTGACCCGCCTTCTTAGGCCCAACAGCCTGTCAACTCCGAACGCCACCCAATCCTCGTAGGAGCCGACAAATGACTCCCGGCAGCGCGCCGCCCGCGCCGCCGCAGCGCTGGAGAAGTCTACCTAGGAAGGGCGCCTACGATTCTGTCCGCAAAGCCAACGGAAGTTGCTAAGCTGATGGCTCCTTGTTAGAAAAAGGTGGGCACTTGCTCTTAACTCAAGTGAGCCGAAAGGAAACATAGGGCTTGCAAAAGGCCCATGTGCCCCGCAACATTTGATGCTTCATGACCTCCTGTTCACCATGGTGCGAATCGCCAGACGGCGGTCAAAAGGAAAAAGCGCTGCGCAAGAATCTTTTCTCCCCCACCCAAAACAACAAGCAACGCACCTTCGCAGTGGCGATCTTCCCAAATCGAACCAAGCACGCTTGAAGCAAGCACGCTTGAAGCAAGCACGCTTGAAGCGCAGAAATGCGCAAAGTGCGGTGATGCTCGTCCTTCAACAAAAACTAAGGAATGGGGAGCATCAGAGGCATTTGCATTCTTGAAGCCGTGCGCAACCCGCAAAAAGCGCCCGGCGCGCCTCCTGGAACACTTCACAGGTCGCCAGCTTCACCTGCCGAAGCCGCGCAATCATGAGGACTGGGGCGGCATCCCAGGCGCGGGTGCAGAACACGCGACGCAGGGGAAGGAAGGGGAAGGACTGTGCGGCGATCGTAAAAAAATGCATCTGCGTCGCCGTTCGCCGGGGAAAAGTGCCAAGAGGCATCGCGCTCAACTCGCTTTTCCCCCCGCCCGCGGATAGCAAAGCGGAGGCCTCGAGCTGGGCCGCCTGCTCCCCTGCGCAGCTTTCGTTCCGCCGCAGCAGCTCCTGTTCCTCGGATCGCGGAGTGTCTGGCGATGGGCCCTGAAACGCGGAGTCCCTCTACTTGCTCCCTTGAGATGTTTGGCAGTATATCCTTGATGGTGGTGGTGCTTCCCTTGTCCATGCTTCTTGCAGGGGCAATTTTGAGGAGCCTCACATTAAGCCCCGCAGCTGCGGTCAAGTTGCTGCTGCCTGACATGCCGCCAGATCGGGATGAGCGTAGGCTGACCAGGGGTGGCGTGAAGGCAAATGCAATGCGACCCCTCTTGCTGTGGACCTCTGGTTTGCCTTCGATCCAGAAGCACGGAACTCGTCTTCAAGTGGCCTCCCTACCAAAATCGGTATGGAAGGAAGGGGCCATCCACGCATTTTTGTGTGCTTTTTGAGGGGGCCCTTCTTGGTGTGGCGCTAAAGTGAGGGAAAGAAAAAAGGAAACCAGCCACTTATGGGGGTCCCCCCTACTTTGAGGCACACCATCTACTGCACCTGTGGTGGTCAGCGTGGTGGTTGTGGTGACCGTGGAGGTGGACGTGAGAGTGGTGGTGCTGGTGCTCGTCGTTGCCTCGGCGCGGGTTGAGCGCTCCAAGTGACAAAACCCGTCACAGGATAGGGTCCCCAACAGTTCCCAACATGTGTATCCAAGCTGCTGAAATTGGGAACTTGATGAGATTCAATAGGAAAGCAAACGGCTCCGCAAATGTTCTTTTCCGTCCGAATGCTGACTTGCTTTAGGTCTCCCATCTTCAACAGTCAACTGGCAATTTCAACAGCAAGACATATCTGCGTCACTTGAAGGTCTTGAACGGCTTGACTTGGTTGCCGACTGCGCTGGAAACTGTGCCCAACTGAGAGGCCAGCAAATGTCCCTTCAAGTGCGAAATGTGCGCTCCTTTCTCTTGCAGGCAAGGAGCATTCTGGAAAGCAGCGTCTTTGGCTGCCTGGATCTGTTGTGGGCCCCGCTCAAAAGCAAATCAATTCTTGCAACCGCCCGGAGCATGTATGGTAGCTTGGCACGAGTCCAAGAACCGCACTGAAGAAACGATCCAGAGAGCGCGTGGTGCGAAAAAACAAACCCTTCAACCTGGAGTCCCCTTGCGCCCGAGTGCTACTCCTGGACACTGTGCGGCCTGGAATGCATCAAGCCACATTCCGAACAGCGACCCCGCAAAGAGGACCAGGGCTACAGCCCCAGGCCCAGCAAAGGTGCGCATGCCGAGATTTGGGCTGGTTGCTGCCAACATGAGAGGCCTGCGGAGCAAAAGCATTGAGTGCAAAAGCGTTGTGTGCCTCATTTACCTCTGAGTGTTGTATCCCTTGCGCGTGTAAGCAGCCCAAGCAAAAACCGTACGTGGTGCATATCCACCAAACATCAAAATGGAGAATAGGTTCGGACGAAATCCCAGATCATTGATTCTAATTGTACCTGTGTCGCCTGCTCTTCCGACTAGAGATCCCATATGATCCCATACCGCCAAAGGAAATGGGAAACCATAAAAAACAGGCAACCCCAAAGACCCGAGAAAAGACATGACCAACCATCCCACCCACCAACCCACCGTCGGCGCTTCCTGCCTCGCAGTGCTCCAGGCTGGCCTGCTCGTCCAGCGCCTCGCTTCGCGCGAGAACCAAACAGCTGGACGTGCGGAACTCTCCGTGGGCGGTCTTCGCACAAACAACAGGTTGTTTTGTTGTTGGTTTCTTCTGTTTTTGAAAAAAATAAACTGAATGCATCTGTATGAATATATATATATATATATGCATCTATATATATGCATATACACACATGCAAACACATATGTGCATATACAAATGTACAACAAATGTACATACATGTGATGTAGAGGAACTCCAGCAAGGGAAAGTTGCAAAGGGCCCAAAGAAGGTGATGGCGCGAGCGATTGATAAACTTTTCTGAATCCCAGACAGGTATGGCGAAAGGGCTGCCTCTGAAAGGGGTGCTAATTTGGGTTCTCCCTCTGCAAACAGCAAGGTAACCGCAAGATAACCGTTCAAGGATTCTTGAATGCCAACTTCCAAGCTTGAAAAGAGCTCCAATCCGAAAAGGTGGGGTGACAACATGAAGCGGCCCAACCCCCAAAAAATCCACGACACATGTGAAACGCTGGCCCAAATGGGCAAAGGGACAAAGGAATTGTCCCAAACATCACGAGGCAAAATCCTCGGACATATTCCCCCGCGGCAACCGAGATGCAAAGCGAGAAGTTTGCTGGCGTGACCCCAAATGAATAAGTCTTTGGAATTTCAAGGAGGGTGCGTCCCCCAAAAGTTATTTTTCTTCTGGAGTCAGACATCCATCACTCTGAGCCACCCCGCCTCCTGCGCCTGCTTTTGCTGGGTGGTGATTTCGGACAGGAGCCTCAGGCAACACTACTTCCAGGCCGTCTGGAATTCTGGGCTTGCCGTTTTACCCGCTTGAGGAAATCAAGCTGGAATTCCCTTCAAGGGTGTGTCAAACTTTGGCTTGCCCATATAGTTTCAAAATCCACGCAGCTGGTTTGCCTTTTAGCGCATCAAGCCCCCCGTCAGACCAACCCAAACGCAAATGCCCGCGTGAAAATTGCTCCGCTTCTGCGGGGGAGGAGGCCAGAAATCTGAGTTCCCTAGCTACACCCTACACTCTTGTGCAGCGGCCCTATAAGCTCCTGCATGCAACCGAGCAATTGGACAACGCGGCGGGATTCTCCACATCCCATTGTTTGCATGACCCACCCAGGTTACACCCGAAGAAAGTGCAGAAGCAAGCCCCGCGTTCCCGGGCCACCAGGCGTCTCGATCAGGCTCCGCATCTGCTGCAGCGCCCCAATGCCCCCGGCCTCCTACCAAAAAGCTTCGGGAAGGCCCTGGAAGGAGCAGTAGAAACCGCCAGGCATTGACGCTGTCTACCAAACAGTTAAAGAGTGAAAAGGCGGCCCCACCTTTTCCGGCATGGGGGGCACCCTTTGCCAACCTGCTTCTTTCCGGGTTTTGACTTCAACTGTAGCGTTGCTTTTTCTAGGTCTGAAAGGGCGCAAAACCCCTAAGATAATTGCCCGCATACCCAAAAAAAAGCACGCGGGAAACTCCGAGACGAACCATCAGCATATCCCGGATGTTCCTGTCTTAAAATCCAAAGCTGCTCAGCGGCAAAAGCCCATGGCCACGCCACAAACTGCAAGCTGTGTCTGCGTTCCGGAAATTCTTGGATGCTTTTGACCCTGCAAAAAGTTTAACTTTTGGGGGTTTAGTGGAAAACCCCTTGGTTTCCCAAAAAGTTAAAGTCTAAAGATCCAACCCAATAGCAGTCAAGAAATCATGGCACACCCGGGCCCCACAAGCGAAGCCCCCGCATGCATAGCTCCTCCAGGGCGAGGCTGCCCAGCATGCCGGCGACATCCGACAGGCTCGGGCTAGGCCTTGGCAAACCCCGAGCCATCCACCCAGAAAACAAACAAACCGAAGCAAACCAAACCGAAACAAACCAAGCCAAGCAAGCAAATGCGCTTCGCCAAACACCAGCAAGACATATGTTTTGGAAGGTTCTCCAGCCGCAGTCTGAGCGATGTGCGCGTGTATGACCATGAGTGCGTGAGTGTGAGTTGCGCAAATTTTCGCACCTGCAGGACAAAACCCAGGCCTTTCCCAGCTCTCACACAGAACTTCTCAGAGAAAATCGGCCTGAGTGAACACCATGCCCTCTTTCACAAAAATCCTTACATTATACACCTGAACATTGCCTTGTAAGTGGTGGTGTCCCTTCATGTTGGTGTTGAAAAAGCAACATGTTTCAAATGGTTGCCAAATTTATCTTTTAAGGAGCCCTCTTTCAAACCGCAGATGTGCCACAGCCGCGGCCGCCCATGTGTTTGTGTTGCGTGCATGCCTGCCTTGCAGGCCTGCCTTGCTCGGCCGAACCTGCTATACCTTTTTTTGCTCGGACGCGGCCCGATTGAAGTTACAGTCTGACAACCCCCGCTGGGTGGGACGAAACCAAACCAAGCCAAGCAACAAACGAGCGGACAAACAAACAAACAAACAAACAGGCAAACCCTTCCATCTCCCACCTATACCTGTTTCGTATCTTTACAGCTCTTGAAAAAAGAATCACTGCAATGAACCAGGAAAATAAGACAAGCTCCAGGTACCTTCTCTCTGTCCCTTTGTCACCTATCTATCATTTGGACCAACACCCAGGCCCACGCCATCGAATAAACCTTCGTGGAAGCCTGCCGAACCCATGCAAGCAATGGCTGCTATCCTCACACGGGTCCCGTCAGACAGACAGCGCCAGAACTGGCTGTGCCAGGCACACGCGACGCCTGCACACACATACGCGTGCCAAACGGGGGGGACAGGGGGGGCAAACGGATTCCCCTGAGACATGGTCTGCATACAGCTGGCGAATGAAAAAGGTACAAGGCTGGGAGTATCAGCGCAGCGACAACATGGGACTCCATGCACCACGCTGGGGGTAAGGGGCATGGGGGATTGACCCCGGAAACCGCGCATGCCATGTATTCCTTGCACATGCCCCTGTCAGCACCAGCCACACACGCACCATAGCTGACAAACTTACCACACCCCCGCCACCCCACCCCGCCAGGCTCCCACACAGGTGCAATAAGGACGAGAACCTGGATGTTGCAGAAAGGCGCCTACCCTTCCCACTTCCTTACGAATTACTGGCAAAGCGTGACAGCAAATCCCACTTGCGGGTACGGTTGCAACTCGTCCCTGACACACAAAAGTGAGGGTTTCCCTTGTGTTCCTGCAGGCTCTACTTGCTGCATATGATCACGGTCATACCACATTCATGGGTACAGTGGCTCAAGTGCATGAAACGAAACAAACACAGCGGGCATACGGGGGATTTACGTCTCACGGACAACTGCGAATGGAGCCAAGGAGCTGATGCGCTGAGCCAGCCTGGCCGGCTTGAGTCAATTTTGATCAAGTAGCAACACGCTCAATTGAACGTACCAGGATGTGTCCAATACAAATCCTCCTGATAAACAAGCGGCAAGCCGAGACCCCTCCCCCAATGGAAGCCTCAACACCTCGTTCGCAAAAAGGCCTTGTGACTCTATTTGCTGGTGGCGGGCTTCATCATCGTCAGGCTTCCGCCAACCCTTGACACCACCAGGCCTTGGTGGCTGAAGCGCAGCCCAGCAGGAAGGACAGGATGATGCCTCGAAATGTATTTTAAAAAATCATTAGGTCCATATCGGCTTGACCCTCTTTTTGGGGGCCTGGGAGAAAGTACCGAAGCGTCTGAAGGCCCCCAGAATTGGACCCCTCTCCTTAGAGAGCCGCTTTCAGATTCCTTAGATTTTCACGGCGGCCAAGAAACAAGATCCACGAAAATCGGCCGGGCCCTTCTGGGGTTTCCATCGATGCTCTGAGGATTAGACGCATCATCCGCTCATGTCTTCATTGCCGCGAGAACTTGGTGCGGGTTTTGCTCCCCGCAGGGCCACCGGGCCCTGAAACAGCACCACGGCGCTTTCCGCCGGAGTGCTTATGCCAAAACGGCCGCGGGGTCGATTCGCATGGATTGGAAACCTTCGTGGATTGGATGCCAAAGAGCACCTGGAGCAAGATCCATCACGAGAAAGTGCTCCTTAGTGTCTGGATTTGGGAAGTCGATCCCCCCGGTTTGGAGTGGCCCGGGTAAGCGCGGCTGGCAAATGGACGCCACTGCGCGGACTGCAGAAATTACAAGCACGCATTGGCAACTTGTTCGGAGCCAGTTTGAAGGTTTCGAGGCGATCAAGCAAGATGCAGGAGGGGCTGGAGCCATGCACACTTCAAACAAAGATGCTGTGATCAGATGCTTTCGAACAGGCCCCCCATGATCTCAGAACTGCAGCGAGCAAGCTTCTGAGACACTTGGAAAACCTGGCAGTAACATTAAAGAGGCCGGTCCAAAACTGCGAAAGGAATAAAAAGTCGTGAGCAAGCTGTATGCATAGCTCGTGCCCCTGGGTCTGCCGGTGACGTGCAAATATGCAGTAGAACCAATCGATCAAGCCAATAATGTCCCGTAAAGCGTGCCCGGAGCTCATGTTGGCCGGCCTGGCTCTAAGAACACTTCTTTCGGTGTGTCAAAACCAGGGACACCCCCCAAATGGTTGCTTTCGCTTCAAGTCCTCTGCAAAACAAGTCCCCAGTTTTGACACTTCTCCAACCAGCTCTGCAGCGCAAAACGCACAGCCTTTTCTGGGTGACACCACTTGCTATTGGCTCAGCGCACACCAAAGTCCGCCGTGCGGTACATTGCCTGGCCCGAAAATCGCATGCCCCGCATTGCGTGGCCACATATCCATGAGCCATGGTCTCATAGAAATCGCTTGCAGCAGTCCACTAAGGGGCTGGGGGAGTAGCTGGGAAATCGCACGCAATCGAGCCTCCCGACCATTGGGCAGACATTACGCTAGCCAATCAACAACGTTCCCAGTGGTAGACACGTGTCCCTGAAGCCGCTCGGTCAGCGCGGACCAGTACTTTGCACAGTCGCGCTTCAGAAGTGCGGAAGTTCTAGAAATCTTGGGAAAAACTCGTTCCAAGCTACTGCACCATCCTGCACCCAAAATCCTAGTTCTGCCTCAAACTTGGGTCCTTTCATTTCCCCAGAAACTTCCCCTCACCTACTGCTCACCTGATTCTTGGAAATCCAAAAACGATGTTTGCTTTCAGGGGCCATTACTTCGCACCCAAACATTGCCCTTCGCAGACGCTCCCTGAGCGATAGCGATACGCCAGCACTACCACAGTGGCCGAGGAAAACTTTCCCGTGAGGGCCATAGCAGGCTCCATTAGTCTGCTCACAGGTTTGGATGCCTCTGCATAAACTTGCACAGCCAGAATGTCTGCGATGCGCCCTGACCCTCGAGCTGGCTGATCCTTCCACAGCTTCCGACATGCTCATTTCACTCGTTGGATTTCAAGTGGCCATCCGTTTCTCGCTGGGCGATCCACTGAAGGCCAGCCAGGCACCCCAGCCTGCAGGGCGGCTGCGGCGCCTTTTGGGGGCGCTCGGCGGCGCCACTCCTGGGGACAAGCTCAGGGTAGCTCCCCACTCAGGAAAACCCAGACATGCCCGGACATTGAGACAACCCATTTCAGGAGGGGGGAACCTCAAGGCTTGCGAACCTGCAGGGCAGCGATCCCCACTCCCGGCTCCCGGGACCGATGGGAGCGGCTCCCAACTTCCGAGAAGGAAAACTGAACCTGGCGAACCAACCAGGCTCTCCCGACGAAAGGCTCCCACTCCTCATCTTGGATCACCAGGCCCCACGCCATGCTGTGACACTTGGCCTCAGCCTCAGAGCAGCGGACTCGGCCCAGAGGAATGTGTCGGGAGGGAGAAGCCAAATTCGGGCCAAGGCTTGCACAAGACTGGCCAAAGGGAAACTGGTGAACTTCTGTGGTGGTGCAAAAAATAAGCGAACCATATAGGCGTGTCTTTGTCCATGGACCCCACCCCCCCACCCCACAATTAAAAAAAAAACACTGGCGTTGCCAAACCAAAAGGTTACCCTCAAAACGAGAAGCGCTCATACGCCAAATCGATTCGGCTCACAAAACGGCCGTCTGAGGCCCCGAGCCATGAACTGGGACACCAGCTTTCGGGTCAGGTCTGGGCGGCCATGGCGGTCCTGACCCAGAGACAGCGATGCCACACACACACACACACACACACACACACACACACACACACACACACACACACGCACGCACGCACGCACGCACGCACGCGCGCACTCACGCACACACACACGCACGCCCCCGTTCGCGCACGCGCGAGACTCATGAGGTAAGTAAGAACATCAATGGGAAATGCAAAAGGAAGCAAACAACCATTAGGATCCTCACGTCTGACCATGGGTCCCAGAAACTTTAACAGAAGGACACGCCACACCTCCAGCGCACCCGGCCTGTGCCCACGCCATGGCATAGCCACCCCGGGACGCCTCTCTCGAGTTTTCGGCCGCCACCATCACGTCACTCACTTGCCTAAAGGTGATCACGTTTGGGGCCTTTACAAAAGGCGCAACCAAAAGTGGAAACCAAAAGGTGAAAAGGTTGGCTTGCAACTGATGTCACACCAAAGGAACAAAAACTCCATGCGGGCGTCTCTTTAAGGGACCTGCCAAAGAGGGTGGTATTCCTGTTAGCTCCCGTTTCAACCATCCAAAAAAGGGTATAAAAAACACACACACACACACAACCACATGATATGTCAGCTTCCCTCCAATTGGTGGCTTGATACCCCCTCACCCCCAAACGGCAAACCCAAACCACAAATGACAGGGAGAAGCCAGTCGCCCAAATACTCCAACTGATGCAAAGGAAAGCGCAAGCTTGGATATGCGGCCACTTCCCAAGCAGCAACAGGCCCCTTTTCTTGCCGGCAGAAAGAGCAAGAACACGTCAAGTGAGGTCTTGGGGGGAGAGATTTGATTGGGCGACCCGTACAGTGACCGCACTCCCAGCCTTTGGACAGTCAAGCCGTGCATGACGAATCTCTCAAGATGCACAAGCGGGTTGGACTTGGTGGCATGTGTCAAAGCACACGGCTTCCCCGCGATTGATTTTTACTCGCCTTCAGCATGACAACATCCCCAGCATCACCAGCATCACTTGGACTTGCGGTTGCCAAATTAGCCGGGCTTTGGCTGGCTTAAATCTTCATGAGGGTGGGTCTTGGGGTGGTTTGCGTCGAAGCGAAGGGCTGGCGGCTTTAGGCTTGATGTTGAGTGGGTTTCGATTGGCTTGGGGCGCCCTTAGGGTTGCTTGAGGGTGTGGTTAAGTGAGTTGTGGGCGAGTTTCAGTGGTTGGGGGCAACGCTCGAAAACCAATCCTAAACTAGACCAAAGTTCACTTCATCGCACCCAACCAACCAACCAACCAACCAACCAACCAACCAACCAACCAACCAACCAACCAACCAACCAACCAACCAACCAACCAACCAACCAACCAACCAGTCCCCTGGCCAGGGCTAAGCCCCGAGCCGGGGCTAGCAAAAGAAATAAAACACCGGCTCCAAAAATGGGACCCTGTCAAAAACACACGTCCATGGAAGCTTCTGCCCCGCCTCCTCCTGGCTCATGCCCTCCCCCAGGAACTGCCCCAGGGCCACGGAGCTGCGCGGGAAACGCGGAGCTAACGAACTTCAGGCGAAAGGCTGGGGGGTTCCCATTGCTTTCTGCTCCGACTCTTCCCCATGCGGATGAAATCAGGATTGCGAGAGAAAAAGGAAGAAGGATGTGAGCCTGCTGAATTGGGGGAGTTTCGTACCAGAAGCTGGCAAGAAGCAGACAAGAGCTCATGTGACCAGCAATGCGCGAAGTCCTGTTGCCAAGGCCACTTCAACACATACAATCCGTTGAGTACATGGGCGATCAACATCATACACCATAGCGCGGCTCCTTGGGTGAGGCTACAGGATGCTCTGGGCGGGAGGGGTTCACGTCACCCTCCCTCAACTGGACTTCGGCGTGCCGAGCGGTTCTGACCCATCGGCGTGCCGGCGGCTGAGGAATCAAAGCCGGGTCTCAAAAGACGCGCCTTAAGATTTAAGATCCCTGGATGTAGAACCCTTTGAACCACCCGCCGCGCAGGTGGTTTCGCATTTTGCCAACTCGCATGTCCAAAAAGCTGCTCGCCACATTGTCTGGATGCGACACTCCTCTACCTCCATGCACTGCATGTTACTTGCTCAAATCTTGGAAGCCTGCGCACATTTATGCTTTGAATGCAAACATGTGTTGGGCCAGGATGTAAATATGTTGATCAGAAAATTGGTTAGTTCTCAATCAAATAATTGCACGTTCGGTACGTAGTTACGCAACATTACATCACATTGCATTACATTACGTTACGTTACATTACGTTACACTACGCCACATTATATTACTCTGCATCACATTGTCACATCACATTACATTACATTACAGCATGTTATGTAAAAATACAGGAAGGCCTGTCCCCAACTGCAATTGCAGCCCGAAAGATGGGTGATTTCCCGGGCCCGTTTGCCCCCAACCCGCTCCGAAAAACGGATCGAACGCCGGGCCTGGCTTCGATCAAGGCCAGGCTGCGGTGCCGAGCCTCCGCGAGCGCCCAGGACGTGTTGGTCAGCTCCTGAGCCCGGTCGATGTCATGGACCAAGCAAGAAACTGACGCAAACGACCGGTCCCATTGCTTTGCCATCAAAGCCATAGGTGAAAGGGCAAGCCCACTTTCTGACTTTCAACCCAAGAACCTTCCAAAACAGCGCAAGGGTGGAGATCCGTCTGATTCGCCAAGGGCCTTGCTTGAGGCACGAGGCGAGGGCGCGGGGCAAGAGGCTCGAGGCTTGGAAGCTTTGATCTGTGGGGTGGGCGCCGCAGCTGGCAGAGAAACGGGCTGCTTTCGCCGGCACGCGCGAGCAAGGAAGGGAAACGGTGACAGTGCCCACATGCAGTCCAAGAATTGGGGACGCCAGGGGGCAAAAGCAAACCAGAAATAACCAAAAGGAAGTTAAGATGCCTTTATTAGAGCAATGCCCAATTTCATTGACTCGTGACATGTGTTTTGTGTTTTTTTGTTAATTCTTTACATAGACTTTCTTTTAACCCCCACAAAAGTGGGCAGGTAAAAACCAGGCAAACACTTCCAAAACAAAACAAAAAAAAAAAAAAAAACGACCAAAGTGGCCCACCCAAACTCGGATCCTGCGCGTCGAGCTCCACCAGCTTCTCCAAGGAGAGCCTGAGGACATCCACGAGCGGAGTCAAGGGGTCAAATGCGTGTAACATAGAAGCGTGGACGAACAAACATAACCAGACCGCAGGTTTTAGTCCTTGGCTCCACTAGGGTCCTATTTTGGGTACCCTTTTTTGACCCACAGCCATATCCATCCTCTTTTTGGTTTTTGCACATTGTTTTCCTTTTTTTCTGGGTACCCCGTTCAACTTTCTTTTGAAGAGGTCCAAAAGGAAACCACATTTAGGGTGCCCCTAGTGCGAACATACTCATGATGAATGAATCTGGGAAAGTGTCCAGAGAAAACCCTTTGAACAATCCACGTGCTTTGGATGCCTTAGGTTTTGGACATGCCCACATCTGGTCCGCGCTGCACATCCTTGGGTTGAGGCTGCCCGCTGTTGGCTGGCTTTAACCCGGAGGAAACCACATTGTTTGCCAAGTCAAAGCCCTTGACTCATAGGACAAGGTTGGGAAGATGCCACACCGCCTCGCAGTGGCCCCGGACAAGGGCCTCGGCATTTGGCGAGCACGGCTGAGTCATCTATTTTGGCTGTGGGGACCGATGCAGCACGCGGGTGTCTGGCATGCACGCACAGTTGGATGAAAAGTGGTGCCTGAAAGAGCTGCGGTTGAAGCTTGATTCCCCTCTTCACCCATCCTCTTGAGAAACCATATATGTTCTTGGCTTCTGGCACGTGCTCTGAAAAGAATGGGGAGGGGGCAACTAGAATGAAAGTAGAGGAATCTGCCACTGAGAAATCGGGCCATGCTTTGAGGCATCCGGCATACCAAGGCCCACAGCGGCAAGAACCAAATGGCGGCCTCCAAAACGGCCAGGTAGACATGAGCAACGCACAAAATGCCAACAAGGCCGGGACCTGACACAAACGAGCCAAAAGCCACCCAAACCAGCTCATCGTAAGCTAAAACCTTCAACCCAGCAACCAGCTCATGCGCGCAGCAACACCCCTCAGGCGAGCGGCTCACTCCGTGTGGCGCTGGTGGCGAAAGCCCAGGCGGTGTTGGACGATGCCTGGCCCCACGGTTCTGCCATGTTTTATTGTCGCCCCCTGGATCTAGTGGGTAAAAGGGAAACAACAACCCACTCTCTGACGTTAGGTAGTGGATATGTGGCCTCCGGCACTCTGTGAGAAACCAGTGGACAGCTGCCAGCACCAATGCCAGCCAGCTTTCGCACCAACCCCACATCAGGCTTGGCTTGGGACCACCCTCCCCTTTAACATAAGACCAGGTAGCCGTCCCCAGCTTATCTGCCCGATGGCGGAGCAGGCTTACACCAAAACCAGGTTCCTTCCACTCAGAAAGACAAGCCCGCAAGAGGAGCAAGCCTAGAGGATGCACACCCTTTCAAGGACAAACTTTGAAAATGTGTTTAACTGTTTGCTCCCGCACCGCGATGGCTGCTAAGGATACCGGCCTAAGACCAGCGTCTAACCAGAGAAAACAAGGTACATGCAAAACGGCCCTTCGCCCTGAACCTCTTGTAGGCGTCCTCGAAAAGCCCGTTCTGTTGTTTCTGAAAGGTCCCCGGCCCAGTCCCCGGCGCGATTTGGTCACAAGACCAGGCAGGCCTTGCGCGATGAACCGCGCGCGAAGGAGCCGCGTGCCCAGAACCGAACCCGCCCAGAGCCGCCCAACCGCCCACCCCGAAGCGCCTGCGGCCCACTGCTCCTGGCCCGGATCTGCCGCAAACTCAGGGCAGCGGCCGCGCCCATGACGGGCAGCTCCGCCAAAGCCAGCCTCGGATCTGTGGCAGGCTTGAATCGCTGGTCTTGAATAATGTTGGGCGTTGTACTTTTGGAAACCTGATGGTGTAGTTGATTGTCGCAATTCTGGGACCATTCTGGCAATTTGGCACCTGAATGCGACGGACCCCCCCATGCCCTGAAGTAGGGAAACAACCGCAGTTTTGAGCAAGGTGCAGATTGATGGATGTTGCTGATGTTTTTGTTGTTTTAAAAGTTTTGAAGAAGCCACATGAGTTGACGTAGTCAAAACGGGAACACAGAAGAAGACCCACGCCAGCTCTGCAGGATGTAAGCAAGTCACAAGGTCTGAGCCGCACAACAAATGGGAACCAGAGTTGGTGAACAAGGTGTCAAATTTTGGAGTTGGTCCGAACCACTTTTGGAGAAACCACTTCCCTAGGTTCATTCATCCGGCGTCTGCTTTGTCCAGCTCGAGTGGCGGCTTGGTCGGTGGGCTACCAACTTGGCTTCAAGGTTGCCACCTTCCAAGAAGCCAAGGCCACCAGGCCCATTGGCCGACCTCCGGCATAGTCAGTTGTGGCCAGTTCTCCCATAGCCGGTGGCCGGTGGTCGCATCGTCTGAATCTTACGACACATAAACAACTCATAGCTCATATGTTGCAGGAGAGTTGGCTCAGGCCTTCCCACGGCTCAGGCGAGCGAGGCCCGGGCTTTGCCAACGCCCACGCCAGGAGGGCCACGTCGCGGGCAGCCTGGCGACGAGCGAGCCGTTGGGCCTCCCAGCATTTGGGAGATACATCTGATGCCCGACTCCGAATGCGAAACGGAATCTAAACGAGGGGCAAAACATGAACGAAATCCAAACCTCTGTCTGGACATGCTGCAAAACCGGAACATAAGGAACGTGCTGCCTACCACACCTAGCCCTTTTTCACAGAACCAAGCACATGGCGACCTGCTGGGCCAATTTCAAAGCGCAGCTCCAAACAAGACCAAACAAAGCTGCTCCACAAAAGTGCATCCAATCCCCCCAACAAAAAATAGGGGGAAAGGAAAATACAGACTGTGGCTTTACCCACTTGGCTGCCTCATGAGGGAGGGAGATTGAAAAACAAAAGAGACAAAGAAAGAAAGACAAAAAGAAGAAGAAGAAAAAAAACACGAAGGCAGCCCAACACCAAACAAACCAAAAGGCGCCGCCCGCCTCGGGCAGCTCGGGGGACGCCTCCAGCAGCTCCAGGAGGCGCCCAGCAGTCGCCCCCAACGAAGCAGCGCCCTGGAGCTCGGAGCTGGTCGGTTCGGCCCATCTGAACGAGAAGAAAATACATAGGGTTTAGAAGGGTCATTCCCACTGTGGGATGGGTAAGGGAGGTCATTCCCTTCAGCGAGCGCCAGCAAGTTTCCCTCCCACCAGTTCACGTCAAGCCTGACGTTCGGGACCCGGTCCCTCTGAAAGGAAAATGGTCCAAAGCAGGACCCCCCGAACGTCAGTGGGGGTGGGGGGGGGCAGTTAAGCCAACGGAGACCAAAAGAGTGGGTCTCGAAAAATCCGACCACTTCCGGCTGTTGAGGGGACCTGGCGGAATGTTGATGCACGCGATCCGGCGATGCGCCAAGAGACATGTGCCGGGTTCACCTGAAGGCTCCATGGCCGAGCGGCATCAGAATCACCCGCAATGTGCGCCCGAACCCTTCGGTTTGAGGCCTGTCCGTGCCTTTCAACCCCCTGCAAAACAAGCAGCCATCGCGCAGCGACAAGGCAGAACCTCCATGGAGCAAGCAGGACAAATGGGAGCCCACCGGCAAGCTTTGAAGGTGCGCGGCAACCCTTGGGTGATTCACCAAAAAGGCAAATCCTGGTAGGTTCTTGAAAAAATGCAACCCCACAAATGGCAACGGTTTCCTTGCGTTCTTTTCATTCAACACATTGCACCGGGAGGGCAGAAACGGCCGTGAAATCAGGCCGCCGAAGGCCGAAGGCCGGGCGCCTGCGCCTCCAGAGACGTGAAGCACCAGGCACTGTTCGCGAGGTCCTGGACGTTTCCAGCGATTCGAGCGTCCGAATGAGTTCGGGAGTGCCTTTGTGCAAAGTACGGCAAGTTACTGTCGCGCCATCTGATTTGTTTGCTCGCCGTCTGCAACGTGCATTTCGCTTGAGCGGAAGTCTCGGCTCAAGTAGGTGGCACTCCCTCCATGTTGGCTTCATCATCCCCACTTACCCACAGAAAGGGAGTTGTGCCATGCAGGCGGGGACAGTTCAGGGGCAGGCCTGGCATCCAAAGTGTGCAAAATCCCTGGGAAATGTTGCCAAAATGATTGTCATAAATCTACTTTCACCCAAGTGAAAACTCCGGGTACATCGATGGCCGCGGAAGGAGAGGTGGGGCAACCCCACCCACAGCCAGTCAGATGCCATTCCACCGCACAGCCCCAAGCACCCGCCTGCTGGTTCATGCGCCAAATCTGCGCCAAGGATGCCTTTGAGGCCGCAGAAGTTGGCGCCTTGTCCACAGCCACCAGGCGTGCCCGAGCCTAGCCAGGTTCAAGGAGAACCAAGACCAAAATGAAACCATGGGGAGACCAGACGAAGATCAGGAAAGCAAGGCAAAAGAGAACAAGCGCCGTAGGGGCGGCATGGAAGAAACTAACATGGAGCCCGACATCTTCCCTCCAGACCGCATGGGGCACCTTGGCCTTTCAGGGCAATTTGTGAGACCCGCGGTCAAAGGACCTGCCTGCACTGCGTTGGCGAGATCCCGAGGGTGCCACTCACCTGGGCAGTGGGGGGGGATCGGATAGGATCTTTGGTCCAAACGGCGGGGAATGCGAGCCCGATGTTGAGACCTGAAGAAGAACCTTTTTGTTCTTCACACATCAAGGCTAGGGGCTTCAAACAGAAGCCATCGGCCACATGAATCCAAGCATTTTGAGGGACCGCTCGGATCCGGGATGGCCTCGCTTGAAACTGCCATCCCTCTGGTACAAAAGCATGCCACCAACTAGGGAAAGGCTGCCTTCCAAAAAAAACCTTCACTCTGAAAACCAAGCAGCTGCTGTGCAGGATGGCCGTCTCCCCGATCGAGTCCAGAAGCCGCTGGCGACAAAAAACCACCTGCCACTCTCATCCATGGCAGGCGCAAAAGTTGAGAAGCAAGTGAGCAGTGGGGCAAACATGAAATCAACTTGCTGAGTGGATCGCCCCCAACAAACGCACGCGTGCCTTCCCCTAACATGACTTTTTCCGAGCATTGAAACCAACGTCTGCTTCTCCAACCCGCTGTGAAGCTGCCACTCGGAAGCTCGTCGCGAACTGCCAGGCCCCCGTGGCCTGCGCATAGGCCCAGACCGCATTCACCATCTCCTCACGGACTGTCGCACCCATGGCCGAGCCTCTCGAAAAGGGGATCACATCTTTCACTTGCCCCTAGTGGCTACTTTCTTGGTTTGGATGTTTGGGACTCAAATCCCCAAACCAATCCAATCCACCAATTGATAGTTACCTGAAATCTTTGGCAGGTGGCGGGGAAGAAGAAAAAAAACGCCGGACTGGCGTGCATGGATCGCATCCTGAACCGTGGGGTGGCCCGCCAGCTCTGGGCTCGACCTGGGCGCTTGCTCGCTTCTTCTTGGGGCCACGCGAAAAGACACGAAATCTTGGCGTGGCTCCAAGACCTTTTTGTTGGCTTTCAAGTGTTCAATAATTCAACACACACATACATAGATATTTACATGTACACAAATATCTATATATATATATATATAAAGGTGTGTCTATACACACATATATATATATACACAAATATGTGTATATGTATATATGTATATATATACATATTGAACGTATACATAATAAGCACAAGAGCGAGAATGCGACAGAAGAAAGATGAAAAAAAATATGCGACGCCGAGATCCCACCGACTCTCCGCCAGACCAAAACGCCGAGATCCGGCCAAAAGCGCGCCTCAGCAGCAGCAAGCGCCCGGCGATGCCCTCCAGGAGCTTCTCACGCCGGAGGCACAGCCGGGCCAACGCCCGCACGCCATTGGCCAACTCCTGAGCGGTTTGCGCGCCTCGTCTTTTTGGCGTCCAAAACAAAACGAGGGGGAGGGGGGGAGGGGGCACAGTTTATTCTCTTTCTCTCGAAACGCTGCGCACGCCCATCTGCGCAGATTTGGACAACTCGCTGGAAAAGTGTGTTTGCCTCCATGGCCTCCCGGTGGTCGGACCTGGGTACGGTAATGGATGGGTCCATTCAAATCAGTCCACCTTCTCGCTGACATTATGGTTGAAAAAAATCTGCAACCCACCCAAACTCAAAGTGACTTTGGAGAACCCATCCCCACCCCGAGTCTGAGATTTCGATGGCTCCTGCGGGCGCCAAGCGTGGAGCTGGGGCAGCACCACCTGCCGTGGGCGTTCTCACGGGTCCCATCCAGGCGGTTTCCGTTTGGCTTCCCTTCCATCCAAGGGTTCTGTCTTGAGACAGGCCCCCGTGTGAGAATTGGGCAAGTGAACGCGTCGGAGTCAAAATGAGAGTGCCCGAGGAAGGATCTCATTGGCGACGACCCCATCGCAGTTTTTGGTCGAAACCTTTTGCAAGTCCCTGGCAAACAAGGAAGAAGAAAAAAACCAGCTGAGCTTCCAAAGCGGCGCACCTCCCCCGCGGCCGCCAGCAGCGTCTCGGCGGACAAAACCGCCGTGCCGAAGGCTCGCACCGCGTTGGCCGGCTCCTGGCGGCGAACGGCGGCGCTTCAGTGCTCGGTGGCTGGGTGCTTTCTTGGTTCTGGCGCCCTTCTACGATAGCCAGGGCTTCCAATCTCCAAGCCCCCCCAATCCAAAGCATCATTTCAGGGGGGATCCCTGATAAGTCTCTTTTTTTTGGGATGCCTATCTCTCAGGGCAACCTTGGCAAGACCAAGCCCCAGTTCTAGGCAAATGGAAAACCACCACGGCCATGGAGCGCTCCTGCGGCCCGAGCTGCGGCAGCCGCTCGAGGATCAGCTGGGCAACAGCTTCGAAGAAGGAGGTGCCTACGACTTGGATGCCGTCGGTTTCTTTCAAAGATCTCATGGGGGTTTCTCTCAAATCGTTGCTTAAAAAATGGTCTTTGGGTTTCCTTTGGCGTCCTCTTGGTTCTTTCTTTGGCTTTTTACTTCCCTTCGGTCCGGCCTTGACTTCCACTGGCTCGCTCTGATTTACTCTTCCCTGGTTTCCAATCTCCTGAGTGATTTAGATGACCCGCCATCTTCTTGGGTTGAGTTCAAATCTCTTGCCTCCATTCGCGCAACTTTTGCGTTTGGCGGGGGCCCATCCAAAACGCGGGGCCGCCTGAGACCCGGCCAATTGAACTGGACGGCGGTGCCTGCATGCGCCTGCTTGGCAAGGCACCAGGCAGTGCTGGAGGTATCCTGGCTGCTGGCCCTTCCCCAGGCCAACAGGGAGGGGCCACGGGCATGTGTCTCATAGGTTTGCCCTAGCACCTGCAATTGCCACCATTCGAATGCAGAAAAACACGGTCCACTCTGACCCACCCCCGTAACAGCAAGAGGGAAGCCTACAACCTACTTCTCTGCCCATCAGTCAGACCCGCCCCCCAAGATTTTATAAAATTTCATACCAATCGCCAATATCAAAACCCATATAAGTTTCATAACACGTGCCTAACCAACCTCATAATAAAAATGTTTTAAGTTATTCATTTTATAAAATAACTTAAACCATTTCATACATCCTTAACCTCATTCTTTTCTAAATTTTCCTTGTGCCTGTAAGTCCGTTCATGCTTTGGTTTATGTGTCCTTTTTATATCACAATTACACACATCGCAATGATATACTACTTGTTGTTTCCTTCTGCTCTTTTCACGACACTTATCACAACGTTTATAGGGTTCAGTGAATAATTTCACATCCTTATCTCTTTGACAACAAGAGCAATATTTATTTTCCATAACCTCTACTACACTATACCAACAACCCTTTAACCCCTTTTTACTCAGATAGGTTGAAGGTCCCTTATCAAAAAAAACAACAACAAAGAAACCTAACAAAAAACCAAACAAGGAACAGAACACAGAACATTCCAAAACAACCAATCAACGAAACATTCCAAAGCTTCTTTTGAACAAGCTTGAACATAAATCTTACAATGTTTTTATTGTAAGATTTATGGGTTAATCTTCTTCAAAAGGCATTATCTTAAATACAGGACATTCTACAAACTGATTAAAGCAACAATATTTCCGAAAACTCTTGTCGTCATACATATACTTAATAACTTTGTTAAAGTCGGCTATTGTTTTGTCTAAGTTGAATTTCTCCAATTTAATAATTTCAATTACCATATCTACATCATTATTACCTATTCTCCGATAAATTTGTTTTAGACAGTCTATCCTTTTAAATGAAAAGTTAAACTCTTCTCTCAATACCTTTTTATCTGGAAAGAAATGACATTTAACAAACATATATGTCAGTTTATCAATCGCTTTACATTTGTTTTTTCTTTCAACAATTTTAGGTAGTCTCCTTAGGTATTGGCAGTCTTCACATTCTTGATAACTAAATTTACATATATCATTGATAATATTTTGAGGTAAATTTAATTTACATAATTCAACCTTGTTATCTTCTAATTTACAAGGGCAATTTATGATTTTAGCTTTCATAATTTTACACATATCACTTACATAAATTGTATTCAAGAATTCGTTAATAATATTCTCTTGCTCAATGTCACTAAACATTTTCACTAATATATATAGGCAATATGTCTTTAAACCCTTTTAGTCTAAAACTATAATTTTAACATTTCAATTTGCTTCATTAAGTCAATATGCTTCGGTTTCTTCTTATGTGCCGACATAACCAAAAAACCAAACAAGGAACAGAACAACAGACCATACAATAGATAATTACAAACATATTGAATAAATATAATAATTTTATTTTATTAGAATTATTATGAAGTAAGACATTTTACGGCAACACGTCTATTTTATTTCCAAGGAATAATATTTATCAAGTTCATGCTCGTAAAATAATTGCACAGCATTAATATCTATATAATATCTATTCTTGATTTTTTTGTATTTAAATATATTATACAATGACTGATAGTTGAATCCCGTTGACCCCCTAAAACGAAAACGATGGGTAGATATAACTTGATACACATTTTTTCGTGGAACTAATTTAGTTTCTGTATTCTTTAACGCTTGAATAAATTTATCATATAATTCAGTTTCTTCTTCTTCTCTTCTCTTCTTTTCTTCTACTTGTTTAGTCTTACATTCTTTGCATAATGTTAAAGTTGTATCGCTCGTAGGAAAATCATCATGAACTCGTGTTTCTTCTACACATCCACAATCCTTAGTATCTCTTGATTGTAAAGTCCATCCCATATTTATCACTAATATATATATATATAGGCAATATGTCTTTAAACCCCTTTTAGTCTAAAACTATAATTTTAACATTTCATGTCTCAATAATAATTGTGGATAATCACTAACAGAATAATATTTTTGCCCTAATTTAGTTTCTATCTTCTCCACCACGTGGATGGATTTTAACCAGTGGCTTGTCCGTTCTTTTTCGCTAATTCCTTTTTTCCTCATAATCTTAACCTTATCTCCAATATCTAAATCAGGATAAACGCGGGATTTTCTGGCATTCATTGATATATTCAGTTTCACTTCAAACTCATTCTTTTTCTTCCTTGCTTCTAATGGTGTCATTTTCGTAATAGAACTTACCAATTTATTATTATAAGTTAATAAGATTTCCAATATGTAGTCAGTCCATTGAATATTATTTTTACCTTTCTTCTCATCGGCATCAACTCTTTTGAAAAGCATATCTTTAAATGTCCTTATGAAACGTTCTCCGAAAGCAGGGTGTCCCCGTGTAGTGTGTAATTCAATTTTCTCTTCCTTCAAATAATCTGTAATGGTAGAACTAAACAAACTGCCTTCTTCGTCGCTGTATATTAATTTAGATTTGCCATCCATCTTTTTTAATCCTTCCATTATTCCAGCTAATACATCAGCAGGTTGCTTACTTTTAATAGGTATAACAGTAGCATATTTACTGAATATATCAACTAATATTAATCCAACTCTAAACTTTTGATTATCCAAACCATTTTTTGAAATGAAAAACAAATCCAACTGGAATTCCCAGAAGGCATGAGGAGCAACAAAACTATTTTGTCCTCTTGGTTTTCTTTTCTCTTCAATATTATTTTTAAAGAATTCATTTACATCGCTCATAGTAATTGTTTTGTCCTTCCTTCTTGCATCTTGTAAAGTTATAGCTTTACTTCCGTATCCGCTTTTGTCATAATAAATATCACTAA